TATTATTTAAAGTTATTGAGTATATTTTTCTTAAAATTTAAATAAATGCTATTTGTAATAGTATATTCAACAAAACATTAACAAGATTAATATTATACTGAATTTATAAAACTATGTAAAGAATTAAGCAAACTTTAATAAATTTATATTACAAATGTCAATTAGTGGATGGCCCCTAATTTTTTTAAAATTAAAATTGGTTACCTAGTACAATATTTCATTACTGAAATGATAAAAAAAAAAAAAATTATAATTTTTAAATGCAAATACAATGAGTATTGAAGCTAAAATAATTTTTTGTCTGAAGTAAATTATTATATTGTCCCTACACTCATAATATTTAACAAATCTGTGATAATTAAAATTTTTCATATCAATTGTTTTCAATCAAATCATATTATATTATGAATTAAAGTATTTTTGAATGACAAATCTGAAAAACATAAGATTTTGAAAATCTTGCCTCTAAATATAATTAAGTTTTTTCCTGAAACAAAATAAGAGCACTGAAAATTCTGAAAGTAATAACACAATAAAATGCAATAAGTAAAAATATATATATATATATATATATATATATTAGTAAAAAAAAAAGTAATAAAGTAAAAAAATTTTTAAAAATAATATGCAATTACTGGATGGTCCCTCAGAAAAAAATTTACAATTAAGAAACTTAATTAATTCTTACCTTTATTAAATTAAATGAATAAAAGGCAATGTTTAGTTGGTCCCAAGGGCGCCGGCAGAATAATATAAAAGGGGGTGCAACCCTCTGACAAGCTACTCCTCCCCCCCCCCCCNATAGCTACTGACTTTGAACCTACATAACTACAAACAGTAGTTTCGTATACTAACGTGTTTGTACACGCTTAACATTGATATTGGTATTCGTGAGCAAGTTTCACAGTTGTGAGAAGTCAGTTTGTGTTATAACTCTTTGTTAAACTAAATAACTAATAGAAAATATAATATTATTTATATTTTATTAAATGAAATTTAAAAATATAACTTAGATATCTGCCCAAAGAAACAAATCTTTTTTTGACAGTTTAGACAAAAAATTACTTTCGAGTGTTCGACGTATGAATAGATTTTAAAGATGACTCAGAATTCATTGAAAAAGTTATAAACAGATTTGGACAGCAAAAAGACGATTACAATTCTTGTTTGATTAAACAGTTTTTTAATTGTTATGTATCAATAATTACTTAATTATTAGTTTTTGAATAAATAGTTTTAATAAAAAAATTTTATAACAAAATTTTTTTTCTGTATCTCTTTAATCGTTTAAAAAAAAGCCAGGGGGGTGCAAGTGCACCTCCTTGCACCCCCCTGCCGGCGCCCTTGGTTGGTCCTCGATAATTCAAGGGAAGTTTCGGTTCCATTTCAGAGAGTGGAAAATGAAACCTGAAATTGAGAATATCTTGCAAAATGAAGCAGAGTTGCACATGAGAGTGCAAGAATCCCTCCCACTGAGTCCAAAGCAAACCCCCCCCCCCCACATGTCAGTAGTTTGGTTGCCGCAAAATTGTGACTTGGCGATACCCAGGGGAAAATATCCCTTTTGGGGCAGATCGGCGCAATTTAAGCCTACTACTTCAATTTGGAGCATGTAGGCGCAGGCTTCCACAATTGGTGCGGCACTTGTAACACTGGGAGACCTAAATCCATGATTTTTTTTAAAAAATAGCATGACATTTCATGACAGATTTTGTTCAATACTGAAATTCATGACTTTCCATGATTTTTCATGACTTTCCAGGTGGGCGGATATCCTGTAACTATACTAAATTTAATTACCGGAGAAACTTAAGAGAAAAAACGAAGAGCTGAGCATATTTAAAACAAATAATGCTAGACAGGGGCCTATCTAGGGCAAATTTACTGCCGTTTAGTGATAATGTGGGGAGTTGTTATCAACAATGTCAACCGTCATCTATGAAAAGGTCCCCCACCATAGAATCGAGTTAACATGTCTTATATACTAGAGAATTAGAATTATATCTTTGTAGTGGTAAAAACACTACAGTACTCCCCCACTAGAATTATATCTGTGATAGAATTCGATGAACGGATACCACTAGCTATATCATTGCTGTTCTGTGAGAAACCGGGAGAGCTGTATTAAGTTCACGGTCGTGGTCGCTCCTATGTTGCCTTTAGCAGTCAAGTGAATACGTTGTACGTTACGTGTGATCGATACTGAGTAGCAACAGCTTGAGGAGGTGGATATTGTCGCAGTCACAAATAGCAAGTCAACTATTCAATGAGGACCATCCATCGAAGTAGGCGTGTTCAGATCGAAGTGAGAGTTGCTGTCAAGATAGGCGTGTTCATATCGAAGTGCTATGGTAAACGTGTGCTAATACTGCTAAGGTAAACGTGTTCACATTACGTCCGAAGGTCAACTATGTGGGGAGAGTTGTTATACACCATGTCAACAGTATCTTTACTCCAGCGCCATCTACAGTAACTTTTTGTAACCGCTCAGAGTAGCAATAAACAAGCTGTCATAAGGTTGTAGTGGTGCTCTCTCTCTTGTCGTATTCCTATGCTAGCATTTACCAGATTTAGAAAATAACCAAATTTAGGTCTTACCAGCGATAATACAGTCCACAGTAATTAGAAGGGAAGATTCATGGATAAATTACCCCCCTTTTGTTACCCCGCATCAACAAGCAGTCATCTATGAAAAGGTACCCCACCATTGAATCGAGTTAACATGTCTTATATATTAGTGAATTGGAATTATATTTTTGTAGTGGTAGAAACACTATAGTACTTTTACAAATTCAATTTTAGGAAAAAAATACTTTTAGAGAAACGAATTTAAAAAAAAATAGAGAAACGAATTTAAAAAAAAAAAAAAAATACACAAGTTGGAAATTAGTATTTACTTATTCCATTGAGGCTGTATACAATAAATATATTTGAAATGTTAACAGTTAAACGAAGTAAAAAAATAATAAAATCATTTACAAATACATTGATAAGCAATTATAGTTAATAATGTGAGAATGGAGTTAACCAACATTTTAATACGAAAATAAACAAACTGCAATGCAATACAACAACGATCGCATTTGATATTTTATAACTGCCATAAAGTTTATACATTGAATGCAAATTCTCTAATTTTACTAAATAATTTACAGACAGTTTTAAATATAACAGAAACATTACGAAAAAAAATATATCTATATGAAATTCTATCTCCATAGAACAGTCAATCTCGAACCATAACACTTGTACCATTAACTAAACATTAATTTCCGATTCTTTTTTCAAAAAATTAATAAATCTAAAATGATACTACTTAATATATTCCTTATTATGCTGAAATTCTATTCATATAAAATTATAATTATAAACACAAGGATAGAGCATAAATAAGTTTTCCATTTCTTTTCTTCCTGGATGCTTAGAAAAGTCATAAGATAGTTTTAGGAAGAAATTTCAGATTAAATCTTTCTATTTAACTTTAACTTCTAAATTTACAATTCTAGAGGGGGGAAAGCATAATTAAATTAATAAGTTTTTACTCCTTTTGTTAAAGTATTTGCAGGAAGAAAACATAAGAATTTCAACAAAAAAAAAGAAACTAATTTCCAGGCATAAATATGCAAAAATGATACTTAAGTGGAAAATAATCGTTAAAGACAGCACCTTGTAAAAAAAGAAGAAATTGGCAATTTATGCATAAGAGGAAATTAGAAAACAATTAAAATTATTTTGCATGTGTAGTTTTAATTGAAAAATGTTTTAAGGATAGATTTTTTTGATTCTTATCCATATGGTACAAAATTTAAAGAGTTTGAGAAGCTCTGCTAAAGATAATAGGACTTTTAAAAAGTTTATATGGAGTAAATTAACGGATGGAGTGATTTTTAAGTAGAAATAAAAATAACGCATAAATAAATCAGTCTACTATGAAAAATAAGCTACTTATTTATCAAAGAATTTCTTCACACGCTCGAACAAAACATTTATTTTTAAACAATTAACACATTTTAGAAATTAAGTCTTCATTTCTATACAGGTATGAAATTTATTCTATTAATTGCATAAATTTAAATTCGAAAGGAATATTAAACAAAAAAAATTTGAACATTAAGACTTCTTATTTAATTTTGATGTATACAAATCTCTAAACAAAGCTTAAATCCACCATGAAGTTTTCTATAATAACCACCTATGCAATTTCATCAGGATTTTTGTTTACTTTCTTTTCTTTTTAAATACATACTAGACCTAACTCCAAATTTATGGCTAAAAATTTACGATAAATTCTTATTGGATTGCAATGCCTACACAGTTTTTTTAAAGCATTTCGTTATACTGCCATAAATATAATCAATATAAAACTATGCTGCTTTGTTAGAACAGAAGAAAAAAATCTATCAATAGGGAATTGATAAGATTATTAAGATAAAATTGGAAAAGAAAAAGATAAAACTGAACTAGACATATTACAAATTTTCAACTAAAAAAAAAAGGATTATTATTTTTTTTCTTTCAAATTGTGTTTAGTAAATATAACAAATATAAAATTTTGCTGCCTTGTTAGAGCAGAAAAAAAAAATCTATTAATAGTGAATTGATACAATTATTAAGATGAAATTAGAAAAGAAAAAGATTAAACTGAAATACAAACTAGGCATACAACAAATTTATAGCTAAAAAAGAAAAAAGGATTATGTTTTTCTTTTTTTCAAATTGTATTTAATAAATTAATAAATATAATATTATGCTGCTTTGTTAGAACAGAAAAAAAATCTATTAATAATGAATTGATACAATTATTGAGATGAAATTAGAAAAGAAAAAGATAAAACTGAACAAGACACATTACAAATTTGTAACTAAAAAAAAGGATTATGTTTTTCTTTTCCAAATTGCATTTAAATATTTTATGATATAACAGTAATGTAATGATATTAAAACATTGTTAAGACATAAAAATAGCTATTGAGAGTTTAACTTACCTTTTACGAGCAGACAAAAAAGAAAGTATACATACACTACTACAAATACTTAATTTATTATAAAACCTGCAAATACCGAACTAATTATAGCCCAATAATTCAAATAATTATTTTGAAGCTCATTTTTAAGTCACTAATACTTTTCTCGCATTTTTTTTTAAAAGGAAATAATATACCCTGTTTGCAAAAAAATATACAAATAGTGCTAAAAATTCACATTGGATTAAATACATTTTAACTATATTTGTTTTATTGATTCTCCAGAATTTGACAAAGTTTAATAAAACATAAGTTTACAAATCTTAAGGCAGTTTATATTTTAAAAAAATTTAAAAAAACTTTAAATTTAAAAATAGAAAATGTAGAGCACAACAAAACCATAGAGATTTCAAAAGCTTATTCTAAGTATATGTATCCCTCATAAGGCTATTGATTACTCTGGCTATTTGCTAACAGCTGATTTCATTTTTCAATATGAAAGGCTATTTAGAAAAGTCTCCAGTATGTTCGAATTCGCTTGATTCTCTTTAGGCAATTGCAATGTACCCACAGATCTTAATTAAAGAAGTATTATGATTACTTAGCCTAATTTGTTTCAAGCAGTTTGCAATAAGCCCCATGAAGAAAAAGTTTCATTTTAAATAAAAGTTTATTGCAAAAAGTGGATTCAGATTCAGTAATTTTTTGCAGATTTATTATTTAGCCTAAAAGAAAATAAGCTGATTGTAGTAAGCCTAAAAAATGTCTTAAATCAGAAAATATTAATAAACTATATAAAATACATTATGAATAAAAATTTATCAACACATTACCTCATAATATAACAGAGTGTAACATGTAAGATAATAAGGAACAAAACTTTTTTTTCAACATATATTGTAATTAAAGACAAATGTTAACTTTTTTATCTTAGAATATTTAAGAACAATGTTATCTTAAATCACAATAATTAGAACCAATTAATTACAGGATATAATAGTGTTTCAAGCCAGATGATAGTCTTTTCTAAAGGCACCTTTTAGATCATTTAACAAAATATAAGCTTTGACTTGGAAATTTATTGCCAGGAAAATAAAAGTATTTTAGAACAGTAATATTCAATTAATGTAGTAAAAGTACTAATTAAAAAATATTTCATAGTTAATCGCTATAAGCAAAAAGTACAATAAATTTCATATGCAAAATACGAGATGAAATTTTAATTATTATTAATAAAATTTGTTATGTCAACTTCGAAATTCTTTTCAATCAAAATTTGATAATTGACACAAATACTAGTTCTATTCATCTAAGCAAACAAGGAAAAAGAGATATTCAATCCATATAAAAGTAATCAAAATAAAAATTTTGCACAGTATTTAAGTATAAACAAAATTACAAGGTTTCAAAACTAAATAATAAAACAATAATATGCATAGTTTAATATAGAAGCATAACATTATATATGCTAAATAAAATGCTTCACTAAGTTAAACAGAAAAAGAAATTTAAATGAATCATAACTTCCTCCAGTTACAAGTGCACAAAGTTTTCCATAAAATTTATTTGACCAAAAGCAATTTATGGGTAAAAATTCATAGCTGCCAAAACTGATAGGAAAAATCCAGTTGATTTTACAAAATATAAATTTCATGATAATTGTTACAAAATATAAATTTCATGATAATTGTTGCAAAATATACTAAATATTTTACACATAAGAAATTTCTGGGATTTTATAGTCAGTACTGCAATATTTTCCATTTATGATTTCACATTAAATGATCTTAAAATGTTATGCATTATGTTTATTCATAATTTTGAATAGCAAATAGGCATTTAATTCATCAAAGATAGAGATAGTTTACAGAATTTAATAAATGAGGCACGCTTCATTGTGTATTAGTGAGATTTATTTAAATAATCAAGCAAGCAATACTCTGCACAGAAATTCTATTTCAATAGGATTTTTTTTTAAGAAAACTTACTAGTATTGTAGGGAATTTTCTAAAATGTACAAAAACCAAGAGAATTTTTATTAAATCAGTAGGCCAGGAGAAACCAGTAGAGTTGGCAGCTATGAAAATTTATTACTCTGTTTGAAATAACAATATTCTTGTTTGAATTACCAAAATGTTACCAAATTTGATGCGAGAAAACAGCCTGAGGAATAGCCTTATTAACATCCAAAACAAACAAAAAATATTTTTAAATAGGCTTTCTTAGATTAAAAAATTAATATTACAAAAAAAATCATTCTCTTTCTGATACTTTCTTAATTTTCAATTGAAATTTTCCAGTTTAAAGAAAGCATGAAGTAGTTTCCCAGGTACTGTAAAAGGAAACAGTAGTTTCCTTTTAACGTAAAGTTTTACTATAAACCATAATACATGTCCCATTACTTCATTAATTTTTTTTTGGAGTGACTAATATATGGTAAAATTATAAGCAAAATTAAGGATCTAAACTAAAACTGGTCCATAAAGATAATAGGAAGCATAAAACAAATGAAAAAAAAAAATTGTTACAATTTTAAATCACAGTAAATGAAAAAGGTTTACAAACTGCAAACTTTTTATATGACACACATCAAGGCAAAATAATCTGCCCTTTTATGTATAAAAGTTTACAAAACATATTTCCCTATATAAATTCCGAGCAAAAAGATAAAAAATGAAATTATGAATAAATAATTAGAAAGCCCTAGTTTGTTGCCTGAAGAAGTAGAATGGTGAGAATCCGTATCATATGGTTTTGCACTTGTTCCTCTTGTCCTTGTATCTTGGGCAACTCTTTGACGTAATCCCTCTTCCTAGATTGGGAGGAAGGAGAAAAAAACAATTTAATGAAGAAGGTAAAAACAAAACTCATTTTTTACACAATAAAGATTTCGTTATAAAAAGATTAATGTGTCAACAGTAAAAGAGCATCAATTTGTTGTTCACAAAGATATAGCTAAAGGGGGAGAGGAATAGATGACTGTAGGGTCAAAATTGCCACAGAAAAAAAATGAACAAAATAGTTGCTTTTAGTAGCCTAAATAAGAACAAAAATATGACTAACATTTTAAGGAATGACTTAATTGTCATATACCATGATCTATTTAAAAAGTTTTATACAATTAAAAAAAATGTACACAACAGATAATGCATACCGGGATAAAAGTTGAAAACAATCAGGGGTCTGCCCAGGCCAAATTTACTACCGTTTAGCGGTACCTTCACAAATTCAATTTTCAAAATACTTTTTCTTAAAATTTTATTTTTGTATACCGTAGGAAAAGATAAATCCATATTTGTGTGTTGATTTTTTAATATAATTTTTAATTTATTAGTATAAAACTTAGACTTTTCTGCCTTTGATTGTAACAAACATGTTACTTTAATAAGGTAATAAAAAAAAACTTCTCAAACTTTTTGTTTTAACTTGCTTAATAAATACATCAACTAATTTCAGAAAATGGATTTGGTGATGATTTTCTTCATATTAAGAATTTTTAGAACATTTTGCTCATTAATTATGTTCTTGCAAGAAAGCATTTATTAAATTATATACAGTAGGACCTCTATTTAACGAAGTCGCTAAATCCCGATAATAAGTTCGTTAAATAGAAAATCTCTTTTTGAAATACTTAAACGGCACAAAACAGCTGGGCTATTCCACGGTAACTTACGTTACATTCACATAAACTTTATTGCACTGAGAACTTAAAAGCAAACGAATAATACTAATACACACATTAAAATAAAGTGATTTCTAAAAATTACAATCAAAACCAAAAGGAATCTAATTAAAATAATTAATATTTTTCAATTTCAACAGTGTAAAAACCTAAAATTAGTGTGGTAACTTACGTTACCGAGAAAGGAATAGCAAAAATTTGCAATATGTTTGAAGGCAAAATTCTGTTCTTATACAAATGTTACATGATTAAGATTATATGTATCATTTTTCTGACATGTTTAAATATTTCTTATGCCTAGATTTAAAATTTATTTCAAAAGTTAAATTAAATATAATTTTCTATATTGGTAACTTACGTTACGAAATTCACTTGGTATCAAACTTTTATTTCAATAACGTACAAATGCAAATTAAAATATTTAAACAGTATAATGCAAGGGAGAAAAAGTGTACATGAAGTAAATTCAGAAACTTTTGATTCACACATAACTACAAACTTATAAAGTTTTCTGTTATTAACTAGTACAGGGGGCTCAATTCTTTTCACCATGTTTTCCTTCTGGTAGAATATTTAATCTCTTTTTTACTGGCCATTTACAATAGATTCCCACAGCATCCATTACATTGACTTTAAATTCTTGCTCTTCAACAGAAATTACCACACCAGGATATAACATGTCCTCGTATCTAACCATATATCAACCCCCAGCTTTTATCTTGGATTCATCATTTTCTTTTTTAAAATCTTTTACTACACTTCTGGTATGCCTTCTTGTACTTTTAAATGGTAAATTATCTTAATGTTTTAAATCTGTGGAGCTTTTGAGAACAGACTAGACACTCCACTAATCTGTTCTAGATACTCATCTGTTTTTTCTAAACATAAAATACATTTCAAAAGATGGAACATTACGAATGTTGCAGAAGGCTTCCTTAGTCAATCCGAACTTTTCATGATACTTACAAAGATAAACATTTCTTGGAAGTTTGCTACTAAGCAAGACATGCTTTGGATGGAGCTCAAAGAATTTAGTTTTTCCGATTTTGTATTCTGGATTTTCTTCCATAAACATTTGGTGCATTTCTCGAACTGAATGAAGATGTCGTGTTTTGTACTTTCTTTTTGATACCATCAGCATATCTAATTATAACTATATCCTTAACTCCTGGTGCTTGTCAAGAGATTTCTCCAATTTTTAAAAGATATGAATGCCAACACCCAAATTAATAACTTAATGAAAAGATTTTACTTTTTTACAAATAAAAACTTTTCCTAGTTTTTGGTAACTTACGTTACATGCATTAATGTTTAGTTGAAATTTATATAATTAAGTGAATTTAACAACAAAAACTTTTTTTAACACTGCACAATATTTCTATTAAGGGTAAAAAACAATATTCTTTGGAACATTTTGAAATGAAAATTATGTTAACTTACTGATTTTCAAAATCTGACCATGTTCTTCACCCAAATCAGAACAAGCAAATGCCTATGTTCAATGGGTTACCAACACTAAAAAACTAAATTCTCAAAAGAAATTATTACAAATTATCAAACTTCAAACCATTCTAATTCAAAAAACATCCAAAATAATAACGTTATTCTTATTTGAATTTTCCAATGCTTTTCCCCTTTTTCATGGAATTGCCCAGCTATGTATTAATTTCATAAACACTGGACATAATTAAAACAGCAATTGATACATCTTCATCTTGTGAACTAGTATCTACTATTTATTTTATAAATTTTAACCCTAAAAAAAATCTGCATGGAAAGTAAGAATAGAGCAAAACATTATCCAGCGTTACACATCATGCTAAACACATTTTCATCTAAAAAAAGCTAAATTTATGCATAAAATTATAGCTGCACTTATTATAAAAGTAATTGTAAACATACATTATTACATGCGCTCTTAAATTTAATTGCTACTGTTAAAATGTTAATGAGTTTTTCGTTTGAAATGCAAATAAAAAGGGAAAGGAATTTTACTGCTTTCTCTAATAGTTAAGTGGCTTCGCAAATCAATTCCGGGTCTTTTCCCCCATAAAATGTGTTAACTAGTTTAAAATGTTCTTAAATAATTTGGGAAATAAGGAGAGTGGATCTCAAAGAAAAGTTAGTTAAATTGAAAATTCACTGCACTATTTGAAAGTTATTTTACGAAGAAATTTCCAAAATGTTCTTGGTTCCTCGAAAAAATTCGCAAAATAGAAGTTTGTTAAATAGGAGTCCGACTGTATTTGTATTAATTTTTAAAAAATACAGATTCCCATTAGTATTTAAATATATAAGTGAAACACTTTGGGAAAGAATTCAATATTTTTTGATTTGGTTCTGTTTAAAATAAAGCTATTGATATAAATAATAAAAATTAAATATTTAAGTAGACTCATTAAAAAAAACCAAGCCTGTTATTTTTAAAAAAAAAAAAAAAAAAAAAAAAACATATGGTTTAAACTAGCCAACCATGAAGTAAATACATTCCCTTGTTTAAATGGTTAAAATGTAAAAAGCATATGCAAGAACAATCCTTTCAAAAATTATTATACACATGATACTGACGAAACAAACAGATGTGTAACATCAGATAATATCAATTTATTAATTAAAAAAGAATCATCGATGTAAGTTAAAAACATATGAAAAGTACCTTTAAAGAAGAATTTTCTTGTCGCAAGTCCTGCAACTCCACTTTTAATTTTCTGTATTCCTCACGCATCCTCTTAGCCTCAGATTCAGCTTCTTTAGTTGTCTGAAATTTAAAAAATGGATAATTATTATGCATGAACTAAACATTTTAAGGTATACCAAATGTTTATAATTTTTTTGTGAATATTTGAAGGAAGAAAAAAAAGCTTTTATCCACTGTAAAGTATTCTAATCTGAATATTGTTACAATCCAGTACATAAATATATATATATATATATATAAAAGTTCAAAATGCATAGAAAACGTGGAAAACGTGGTTACAGAATAATAAAAAAAGAAAAAGAATTTAATAAAAATCAGGAAAAAAACAAACATATAATATCCTTATCAGCTCACACAATTATATCCGCAAAAAAGAGCAATTTCTAATATTGTATCAATATAGACAAAGCAAAATATATCAATACTATAGTAAGAGGAGCACAAAAAAAAAAAAGGAATGAAATAGAAAAACACATTGAGTAATGATTATCACGTAAAAAACAGGGGAAAAAATGCAAAGAAAAAACATAAAACAAAATGCATAATCGAGTTGCAAATTCAAATGAACTGGAAAATTTTCAAGAATGATTTAAAATATTTTCTTAATGAGATTGCCAGATTACCAAATATGAAAACAGAAGCGCAAATTGGGGTAAAAATGTAAATAAAAAGATTTTGTTAAATGGTGCATTCTTACTGCGTGTTTGATTTGTCAGTTACCAGGGATGGGCTCGAAAATGGATGTGCACAAGATAATATTATACCGCATAATTTAAAAAAGTTTATAATTATAATAAGGTCAATATTTAATTATACAATTTTAATGATTTTAGAAAATTAACTTTTATTTAAGAAAAAAAAATGAGAGAGACAGAAACATGAATTGCCTGTTTTGCACAAAATTTTAGCCTCGGATTTGCCCAAAACAGATATATTAGCACATGGTAAAAATTATGAAAATTAACAAAGAAGTTTTTAATAAATTTATTTACAATAACATTTAATTAACTCGATGATTTTATATAGAATTTAATTATTTATTTATGTATATATACATATATTTTAAAAATAATAAATCTATATAATTATGCAGTTAATAGTTGAATTTCTTCCAATCAAATAAATATGTGAATACTTTAAAAGGAATCAGTTATTAAAAAAAAATATGCAGCCCATGGTAAATTAAAATGTCAAATGTAGCTCGACTAAAAATAAATAAATGCAGAAATCAATTTAACTTTCAATGTTTTTGTCAAGCTTAACTTCGAAATTTTTTTCCCTAAGAGTAGATGTTTCAGTTTATAAAATCTAATATTTTCAGACCGTAATTTAAGGTGTTGGACTGTTGAAAGTATTTTATTCATTAAATAATTCTGATGTAAAATATGTCAGTATGCAAAAAGAATTTTTCTGAAAAACTTATTTTTACCAGTTCAAAACGTTGTTTTTTCCCATGACCAAAACAGAAGGAAAAGAAAAAGAGGGGAAAAAAACGGTCTGCCAACTGATTTTTTTTAAAAAAAAAAACTTGGATTTTTCTGAGCCATACAAAACTTAGAATGTATTTTTAAAAATATTCCAAACTTAGAATAGATTTTTTTGTGATGTTTTCTGATCTACATTAATTTATTATTTGTTACAAATTTAACTAACTTACAAATTCCTACCTGGTTGAGCTTGAATAAAACTAACAATAATTTTCTCTATTCAGTGAAGTGTTTGTAATAATTAATAATTTTATTAAGTTCCATTTGAAATAAAATTATTATAATTATTATTTATTTACAACATTAAAATTAAAATCATTATTTATTTACAACAGTACTCTGCATTCTAGCAGAGTACTGTTGTAAATAAATACAAAGTAGTATTAATACATTTAATGAGAGCTATGATTGATACATTTTTGAAAAAAATTAATACAATTTAATACATTTGTTCTATTCAAATCAAAAAAAAAAAATTATATTATCTTTACAAAAAATCCTGATTTTTTGTAAACTTGACAACAAGAAATAAAATAAAATACATTATAAGAAAAAGAATTTCTTTTTATTAACTATCAGCATTTTTAAACTTATTTCTTCATTAACACAAAAAGGAAGTTTTAAAAAAAATATGAAACATGGTACAGATTTGTTTTAAAATGAAGTACAAGTTTTGAATATGAGTAGTTATTTATATGTCACAGGCATAAGAAAAGTTCAGTTTCAAAATCAGCTATGCCCATTTGCAGAAGAATTAAAACAATAACAAGAGAAAAAATATCTTTTATAAGAGCATTTAAATTTATTAAATTGTTAATTGTTTTTTAAAAATTTTGAAACAAATTTTTAAAAAACCTCAATCATGATAAATCTTACAAACATTTTATAATAACGAAATTTGGTGCAGTTGGAGTTGTATGATATTATTAAGTTGAGGATGAAAACTGGATCATAATAAAACTTTTATTATTGTGATCTCTTCAGTGGGTTGATAAATGAGTACCAAGCATGCTTGGGAACTAAACACTGGGGGTTACACGTTCGGCTGACCACCTAACCGGAACATCTGCTCCTGCACCCCAGAGCCCAAAGGTCAAGAAAACTGAGATGGGCACAGTAGGCCTTAGCCCTCTATGGGCTGTTGAACCGCTGAGTTTAGTTTTATTGTGATACTTTTTAGAGCTCTAGATATAAAATTACAATTATAATTTTATCCAATTGAAGTGAAATAGTAAATTTTGCATATTAATAACAATAAGGACAGGCCATGGGTGACAAATACCCCATGAACAGCTTAATTAGAAAGTAATTGAATTGTTCCCAACAGACAGCTAGAAGCATGGGAAGAGATCCATAGGGGTGATTTATCGAAAAGTAAAATAACCAAAAAAAAGCCAACTCTGTGTAAATAATATTAAATTTGAATTTCCCAACAGGCAGTTAGGAGCATGGGAAGAGTTCCACAGTGGGCGAATTATCAAAATTGAAAATAGCCAAAATTAAAGCCAACTCTGCATAATTAATATTAAATTAGAAATAATTTGTCTAAAGCTAATCGCCAAAAAGACCGTAAAAATTAATATAACCCGGAAACTGAAACATTTTTGTGGTAAGAGAAATAAAGAATAAGGAGTCATAAATAGATTTTGATGTTCGATTTAGTCGTGACAGTGAATTAATTAGTTTTACATTTGTATTGAATTAAAAAGTTAGCCATTACATATGATTCATTATTAAGAAGAGAATAAAATATTTATATTGATTTTTATAAAATGTAATAAAAATTATGCAATTGGTTTAATTAAATTAATATTAGATTAAGAATGATTTTTAAATAATTAAATTTATGAAATTAAAAGAAATTTTAAAAGATATAATTGGAAATATGTAGTGTCTATAATGGCATCACAATTTCTCTTTACTATAAAATAAATGTAAAGCAATGTTTAAAAAAGTTGCCTGAACCAACTAATAGCAGGGAAGACAACCTTATTAGTTGTGTGCAAAATGTTTCATCCGATAAGTATAAATTCAAATAAAAACTTGCTTTTTGGAACTAAAAGAAACTGATAATTAAGAATAATTTATACTGTGAATAACAAACAGGTGTTAAAGTAAGAAAAGAAAAAACTGAAAATAAATAAAAATTGTGTGAAACTAATTTGCACTAAAAGAAAACATTTTAATTATTTAAATACTTATTTGAAATTTTTTTCTTATTACATGTACATTTATAGTCTGAAAAACTATTAAGCTTTAAAGATAAATCATGATGGAACAGAATAAATTGAAAAAACAATGTAAAATAATTATTAAGGAAAAATACATTCAGCAAAACTTTCTCTTTCATTAGCTTCTTCCAAAGTTAAGAAAAATCAGAAATTTGGCCATAAGTCAAAAAATTCTCCTAACTAAACAATATTGTAAAAACTAGAAATTAGAAAGACGAAGTGTGTTTATAAAGGTCACACTTCGTTTAAATATTTTTAACCCCTTCACCCTTTATCACTCTCGTGACATATTATGCCAATCTAAGCATATACACAGTTTTGAAACACAGACCAGAACGACGAATTTTCGTACGAATGATAATTCGTAAAAACAGAATCAAAAGTACAACTGAAAAAAAAATAATTATTTTACAAGATATACTAAGCATTTAAAATAAAATATAATAGATTGAATAAAAAGATAGTAAGACAAATATTAATTTTAAGTTTGTAATAAATATCTATTGCATAAAAAAAAATATTTAAAAAAAAAACTGTCTAAGTTTTTAAGATTATACAAACTTTTATTTCAGGAACAACTACACTTTTCACTTCAGGCTTAGTTTTATCAACAACATCAGCAGCAACAATCTACATAAAATAATAAATATTAAATTTTATATCCCAAAATGCTAAAAATAAATTTTTTAAAATATATATTACATAGTTGCCAACATGGATAGAAAAAAATCCAGTATGTTTTACGAAATAATATAAAATCCACAATAATTGTCGTATAATGTACTAAATACTTTACACATAAAGAATTTTAGGGATTTTTATAGTCAAAATAGAAAAACTGCAATATTTTCCAATTATGATTGACATTAAATAAACTTTAAATGTTATGTATTCATTTAAAGTTTATTTAAATGAATGCATAACATTTATTTAATTCATAAAAGATAGCTGAGATTTTTTTTAAATTTTAAAAGATAGTTCTGAATAAAAATAAACTGAACATTTTAGAACAAAAAAAGTTTTGAACTGATTTCTATGGTGAATGAGTTTCGCTTCATTATGTATTAGTAATTATTTTAATATTCAAATAATAATCTGTACAAAAAAATCTATTTCAATAAGAATTTTTGTAGTAAACTTACTTAATTTTAAGGAATTTTCTAAAATGTACGAAAACAAGAATTTTAATTTAGCCAGTAAACCTGGTAAAATCCAGTAGATTTGGCAGCTATGATATTATGAAATAAATATTACCAGTGGAGCAGCAGCAGTAGCAGCATCAGTAAGGCTATCAAATATGCACTTGAGTTTAGAGTTCATTAAGCCTTCTGGTGGAGTATCATGCCACTGAAATATTAAAAGTTTTCAATATAAATTCAAATGCATATACATTTTCTACAATAAATTATATATATTTATGCAAAGGTCCATCTAGGTTTTTTAAGAGCTTACCTATTTTGTGAAAATTTAAAATTATATTAAAAAATCAACACAAAAATATGGGTAAGTCATATGGTCACAACAAATAAAAATCCTTTATGACTGGTAAATTTCTACAAATTTTCCCACCTATATTCAAAAACAATTTTGCTATTATAAAATTTTGGGTTTAAAATTGTATCCAAACTTAAAAATCCATAAAAATCGTTGTCCACAGCTAAATTTCAACTTGAATTTAATAAAAACATGCATTTAACAATACTAGCACTAAATATTATTTTCATTATGAGAACATTTGCAATTGGCTCATACTGAAAAGTTTCACAGAAAAAAAAAATTTTTAATAAAAAGAAATAAATGTCAGTTAGAATGAATATATAAATTTCTTAAGATTATAGTTAGAATTTTGCTTCCAGTAGTAAAGCTTTTTTAAATACATTCTAATACATGTTTAAATTTTTTTTCTAAATTTCATTTAAAGAAAATAAAGTTGGACCTTTATTTAATGAAGTCGCTGAATCCTGATAATTAGCACGTAATATGAAAAATTCATTCAATAGAAAATTACCTTTTGAAATACACAAAACAGGTTTTTAAGTCATAAACCCAAGACATAATTAAAATAGCAATTGATACACCTTTATCTTGTAAACTAGTATCTACTATTTATTTTATACGTTTTAACCATTAAAGAAATCTGCATGGAAAGCATGAATAGAGTAAAACATTATCCAGTGTTACAGAATCATAATACACGCATTTTCAACTAAAAAAAAGGCTAAATTTATGTTTAAAATTATAGCTGCATTTATTATAAAAGTAATTTTAAACATACATTAGCACATGCGTTTTTGTTTGAGTTTTTCGTTTGAAATGCAAACAAAGAGAGAAAGAGATTTTACTGCCTTCTCTAAAAGTTAAGTGGCTTTGAAAATCACTTTCCCCTATAAAATGTGTTAATAAGTTTTAAATGTTCAGAAATATTTTGGGAACTAGGGAAAGTAGACCTCAAAGAAAAGTTCGTTAAATAGAAAATTCACTTTGCTATTTGGAAGTTATTTTACGGAGAAATTTCCAAAATGTTCTTGGTTCCCCAGAAAAAGTTGCAAAATAGAGAAATTCGCAAAATGGAAGTTTGTGAAATTGGTGGTCAGATTGTATCAATTTAGTTATTTTCAAATTATATAAAAAGTGACTTTGATGCAATTTCTAAGATATACTTTTTTAGTCATGTGTTTTCTTAACAAAAAAAAAATTATATCAACATTTTAATTGAAATGAAATGGCATAATAAGACTAACTTAGAATACAAAGAATAAATTAACACATTTACCATAGTATCGTGGTTCACATCTCCTTCAGGCACGTACATGCTTTGTACCATAAACTTATCTTTACTGCGATCATCATTTTCAGAAAATGGTTGCAACATAACTAAAATATAAAAAATAATATTTTTTTTAAATTTCATTAAATTGTACTAAACTACCAAAATTTTGAGAGATTTGATTTTTAAAACAATACCTAAAAGGTATTCTTTAGGTATCTGGTAGATTACCATACAATCAAAATGGACAAAAATTACAGCTAGTGGTGTAAATTAATAACATTCAATTATACTGATTATATAACAGGTGAAAAATATTGAATAAAAGCTTGTTGATTGATTGATTGAATGTGGGGTTTAGTGGCACAAGGTCCAAAAAAGGACATACTGCGCCAAGCACACGGTTTTAAAAACAGATTAACCCTTTCGCGACGCAAAGCGCGAAAGCGCGCTTACCGCTGAGGCCGGCAGTCTCTCTAGCGTGTGTCTCCCCAGGGCCGGAGGGTTTTTTGATGTTAAGCCTAATTCCATGAAATTGCCGAAATATCAGCGCGTTGTTTAATATTGTTCTGTAGAGTATTTAAGTGACATATGCTTTATATATATTTCTATGGATACTTTATTTACTTAAGTTATTTCTTGTTTAAATGTAATATAAATATTAATTAGTTTAAATATTTTGCATAATTTCCTCTATTTCCAGCTCAGTTAAAAATTTTCGACGCTTCGACATTCTAACGGTAAAAAGAAAAAAAATTCAAGCCTACAAGATCTAATTATCCACTAAAAACTAATCCGAAAATCGAAAGTAGCGAGAGATAAAAAAAACTCCCTTACTTACTGTAAATAAATATCACGTGCTAATTTAAAGAGCCCTCATAAAGCATTCCCCCCCCCTCCTCTCCTTCCCCTAAAAACCACGTGACTATACTTTCATCTTGAGTAGAAGGTCAAATCTACATATATCTGAAACCATATGGACATACAATGCCATCTTTTGGAAGAAATTTCATTTTTTAAAACGTTCCGAAACGCTGGCACAAATAAGTGACGGTCGGGGGGGGGGACGAGAAAACTCTCTGACACGCGGGTGTGTCGGCCGGGAAGTGAGCGCGTTTCTTGCTGTCACATATATGTGACAGTCGGCTCGAAAGGGTTAAGAGGTTAAGTAAAGCGCACGTATAAAATCAGATAAGATAGTGAAAATTCTAAAACAATTTGGAATAAAAACTTGTAATTTTTTATGTAATCCAACTAACAATAATACTAATAAATTAAATATTCACCAGCAAACGTAATAGATTGCATAGGCTGAATTCCTCCCACTTAATTAAAAAAAAGTAGCCGATCGGCCTGTGTAGGGGTTAGGGAACTGCCCTTGCATCAGAAAGGTTCTGGGTTCGAATCCTAGGCAAGGCATGGATGTTCTTTCCTTCTCTGTACTATCTGTCTTTACTGCGGGAGCAACGCTGGCCCACCTAATATGGTGCCCCTGAAAGAGTGGCCAACAAAGCTACCCTTCAGGTGTCTGTATGACCTAGGTCATTATCCAGGTGGGCATTTTATTATTACTCTTTTATTTTATTACCGTCGTTGAACAACCAACCCAATCTTATGGATTTACGACTACTAATGTTCAACTCTGTAGCCTTGTAATTTGGAACCCAATCCAGAAGACAAGGGAGCTCCTGGATCAAGTATTGGGAGAAATTTGCCTTTGTGGAGGACTTTTTGATGAAGCTAACCCGCATTTGCGTTACATGGAGAGGAAGACCACGAGAATCTCCCACGGTTAGCCAGACGGCAAGAGGACTCTAACCCATGATCCGTCTACCACTGAGGATATTTTCATGTCAGCACTGTGGTCCGGAAGCAGAATTCATATCGACTGGGATTCGAACCCGGTTCACCTCATTGGAAGGAAAACGCTCTATCCCCTGAACCATCGCGGCTCATCCAGGTGGGCATTGTCTTCCAAAAAGTGTGGGCATTGTCTTCCAATAAAATTTAAAAAGGACACCTAAGAGGTTTTTTTTTCTTCAGGTATCTGATAAATTTCCAAATAATCAAAAATTACAGTCCTCGTGGCACATTTTTTTTAGCCTTCTGCAATAATGATATTATATAGTATCTTTCTGAAAAACATTTTTAATAGTAGCAAATATATATATATATATTACAAATTTCAAGTAATAGAAGCGCTTCCTGTTTACAAAAATAAATTTTAAAAAAAAGCTTTTATGTATAAAATAAAACAGTATATATATTTTTTAATTATAAATGCAAGTTCTTTTTTTAATATACATATAAAAGAATTCATATTCTGATACAGGGTTCCTACACTATTTTGAGAAAACAATATCCTAACTTTTGCAGGTTTTTCCTGACCTTTTTTACAATAAAATTCCTGACCTGCTGTTCCCAGCTCCAACAAAACTTTTAACATTGCAGTTTCATTTAGTAATAATATGCTACTTAGTCATAAGTATCATATATTGAATAGGATAAACACTTATATATTAAAGTGGAAGTGCGTAATAGCACTTTATATCCCAAATTATATTTTCAGAAAACTTGTGAAACATATTTTAAATATCATGATTAGATTAAACTTTTAGTGTGTTTTTGTAGTTAGATACGAAAACTATTTAAATAAAAAGATCAAGAAAATCTGTTGGATTATGGAAATATTTTATTTAATGTTAAGTGGAACCAAATGCATGAGTGTCGTCAGGATATAAAGGGTTAATCAAAACTGCGAGATATGTATCAGTCAGGGTTGGCAGGTTTTTGACATGTGACAGTTTTTGACAGTTTAAACCCTGGTTTAAACCGTCACGTCAAAAACCTCACTGTCAAAAATGTCGAAAATGTCAAAAACCTATATTCATATGTGAAATTTAATTAATACATAAAATTTATATATTTTTTATAAAGGATAGTGTTTCTAAATATGTTCTAGAAAAAATAAATTTAAAATTTTGAAGAAACACTTATATTTTGAATAGTAACCAAAATCTTGTACTTTTGAAAGCTCACATCTTTTGTAATATTATGTATTCATTTTCATGTGTTATTGAAAATCTGCAGTGATATTATTAAGAAATTTATTTATAACCAAATTTAGTGTATAGTATAGATTATACTAAAAATTAGACATTTTTAAAGATAAACATTAGCAGTTTTGTACATTAGACATCTTTTAAAGAAAAATCTTTTTAATATTCTTTTAAATCTTCTTAATAATCTTTTTAACATAAGACAATACAAATTTAAGTGCTTTCTGTTAAATACACAGAGTAGTTAGTGTCGATTTACAGTATATTCAGCCTATTCATTTACTATGCTGAAAATTTAGTTTATCCAAATACTTGTGAATTTCATTTTGCTGAATACTATATACATAGTTTTGTTGAATATCTAAATATTCAGCTGTTGAATAATTACTTCTTGCTTTCAAGATATGCATTATTTGTATTCTTAATACAAGTGGGGGAAAAAAATTAAGAGGTAAAAATTGTTTTAAAATGATAAGTGTAATAATTATAAATAAATATAATAAACAATATGAATTATATTTATCATTATTCACAAATATAACTACTTTTAAATTCAAATTAACATACTGGATAATAAAGATATTCGGTATAACATTAAAATTTTTTTTTATACACTTGTATCAAGTTTGTATTTATACAACATAACTTGTAAGTTCCTTATAAATATTAGTTATATGTTCCTTATATGTCAAAAATGCATAGTAATAAACTTTTAATTTTCTTAAGTATCAAAAAAAAAAAAAATTTTTTTTTTAAATATAAATATTTAAACAATTTTTGTGCAAAATTTTTCTGCACATGCATTTGAATATAAATTTCTGAGATTTTAAATCTGTTATTTTACCTTAATTTTAATTAAAAAATATTTTAAAACCTGCTGATTACCTATAGTATAATTAAATTTCAATATAATGCATGGCAACTGTTGGTAGTTTTGAAGTTTATATATTTTCTTGGCAAACTTCAGTTTTTGACATTTTTGACGGGTTTTTGACGGTTTAAACCAGTATTATACCCTTGTCATGTCAAAAACCACTTTTTGACGTCAAAAACCCAACCCTGGTATCAGTATCCTCAAATAATATTTACTCTTAAAACATTTGGTACATTAAGTCATTAAGTTTTAAAAATCACCAATTCACTTTAAACTGACTTTTCCTTTATAAGATAATATTGAAATATAAAGGGGAAAAAAGTCAAGAAAAGTTAATTACATACGAATAAAAATTCAGATAGAAAAACTATGCAACTTGTGAGAAAAATAAAATCAAAAATATCTTTTTTTCAGTATTTTCAAACTTATTTCTGTAATACTGTAAGCTTCCGGAGAAACTCAGGGGCTCCTATGTTATATAATAATTCTCAACATATTTTGTTATTTGACAGTTTCTGAATCAAGAACATCCAGTTCTGTTGCAGCAGTTTTCATCAATTTAGATTTTCTTAATTTCAAATCATCGATCTTTTCTTTTATTCGTTTTCTAGATATTTCAGCTTTTTTATTCTCTTTGGGTTTTTTTTCCCGGCTTCCAATGCATGTCTCCATCTTGTTCTATATCCTTTTACAGCATCTAGCATTTTTTCATTAATGTCTATGTTTTTTATTCCATTTATAAATGAAACATAATCATACACATGCCTTTGTGAAATCATAAAGTCATTGAGGTTTTCAATAAGCAATAAGCTTTTATTGATTGAAAACACCCCTTCGACTGTTGCGTTACCATGAGAGAGGATAAGAACGAGGGTTGGCAAGTTTTTGACACATGACTGTTTTTATCATCATGTCAAAAACAGTCAAAAACCCATAGTTTTGGTAAAACTGTATTTTCATTTGAGTTTCACTGCTTATAATTTAAAATTAATTTATTTTTGGGCAATAAAATTAGAAAAAAAGTTGTTAAAAGATATTTAAGAACAGATTCTTGCATTTTCCCAACATGATTATATCAAAACATACTATTTGAAGTAAAATATTAGGAAACTAAACAAAATTTTGCACATTTCCAAGCATCATTTAGTTTGGCATATTACATTACTGAAGAATGTCAAGATTGATTACTTTCATTCATAAAACATGCTTTGAGAAACACATGTACACATAAAAAGAAAGCCTCATAAAAGAAACTTTTCTTATCAATTTTGCTTTCACTATTTTACACAGAAATGAGACATGAAAAAGCCTGGGAAATCCTTTTAAGAGTTTCCTTGCAACATTGCAATAGCCTTTTGTAATCATTGTCCTCAATGATCTCGAATCCTCATTATTCTCGAATTTTGAACTCATCTATACTAAACTCAGAAATCAACTGGGCAATGAAAAATGTGCAAAATTAGTCACTTGCTATCATATGCTTCGGCACAGTGACCCCGACTATTGAACGCATAATTTTGTTTGTAATTAAGTTTTGTTTAATGTGCTTTTTCAACTGAATAAAAGTTTTTAACTGGACAAAATAGCAATAATTCTTGACTTAGAGTTTGTTAGTAGTTAGAAGTCTTGAAAGTTTTGTTTAGCTTATTTCTAATATTTAAGAAATGCCAAATTTTTAATTCTTTTTTTTAGTTCTTGAATTTATTACTAGTTCCAAGCTTTTTGCTTGTTTGTTTATTTCTAACAATTAAGAAGTGCAAAATTTTGAATCCTTTGCAAATCAAGTTATAATGATAAAAGTAAGTATCACTATTTTCAATAAGTATATTACAATATTTCCGTATGAATGTATATCCTTCTATAAGAATGCCTGTATATAGTTGCAAAATCAATAGTAATCATTTACAACATTCATTTATAAAGGCAATCATGTGAAAATAATATATTGTCCGCTATATGCCATAAATTAAAGAAAACAGTAGGTTTTTCACGGTTTTTACCGGTAAAAACATGGTTTTTACCACTGCCATGTCAAAAACCAGGTTTTGATGGCAAAAACCCAACCCTGATAAGAACAATTTTTATAACCTCCCACAAATTTTCTAATTTTTTTTTTCTTCATGCAAATAATTTGAAAAAAAAATTATCTCATCTCGGTTGTCGTGGATTAAACTCTAAGAAACTCATTTGCTCCTCTTTTTTTTTTGGCATCATCACAAAACAGTAAAAATTCCTTTTTTGCTTTTTCTGCTGTTGTTTCAGCTACCCAGTTATTAACATGGTGAATTCCAGACAGGTATCCATCCTTTGTTAAGCAATGGATGGATGTTGAATGATCAATTCTGGAACTAAACTTGAAATGCCATGTGACATACTATACAACAATGGACTTTTTTCGAGTATTTTTTCAACCGTCGTCAAAAGGAATTTTGGACATAACATTCATTGGATAAACAGGAGGAAAATTGCTAACAGGACAGGTTCTACCAGGGAAAGAGGAATATTATTATGAGGAAATTACACATTTTGAATTACAGAATTTTTCCTTGCAACTTTATTTTTGCCTGTCAGTCTTTGAATGAACTATAGTTTTCATTATTTTCCTAACTTTATGAATATGTAAGATAAATCCTGACTTTATGAATATGTAAGAAAAATCCTGACTTTTTAGCTTAATTTTAGAATATCCTGACTTTCGCAGGTTTTCCTGACCGTGTAGGAACCCTGTGATAATATTAGCAATATTTTCCTGTTTTAAAAAATATTTGTGCTGTTAACTTTTTTTTAAATTTTAACTACTTGGAAATTACTTTTTATTATATCAATCAGTCATTACAGAACTTTTTTTATTCTCATAGTAAAAAATTAAAAAAAAATTGTGAGTGTTTTTTCCATTGCTGATATGTGAAAAAGGCATTTTTTGAAAATAATTCCGCAGAAAAGGAAGAAAAAAATAGTTCTGCAGAAAAAAAATCTTACCAAATATTCTACAGATAAAAAAAAAAAAAAAAAAATTTTTTNTGTAAGCAAAAAAAAAAAAAAAAAAAAAACTTTTTTGCTTTCCAAATAAAAAATCTGCAAGAATTGTGTAACGTTCTGCGACAATGTCTTCGTGTCACCACAATTCTACCACATTATAGCTAGTCATATAAATTGATAACATTCAATTATACTAAATATATAACAGATGTAAAATATTGATTAAATTTTTTTAATTTTTGATCTAATCCAGCTAATAATAGTACTAATAAATTAAAAATTCACCCGCAACCATAATAGATTGCTTGGGTTGAATAATTCCACCCATTTAATTTTTAAAAAGACAACTAAAAGGTACTTTTTAGCCCTGTGGCAGAAATTTTTCAAGCTTTCTGCTTCTCTAAGCCAATATACGGTTTTAAGATACTTTTAATTATAACAATTACTAATTTAAAGTAACAACATTTTTAACAGTAAAATAAATATTTTTTTAATTCTAATATTATTTGTGATATTCTCCCATATTGTAGGTGGGAAAATACACTAATTATTTCCTATTTCGTAAATCATTACACTAATTAAAATTCGTAAATGAATTAAACGTCAGTAAATTAAAATTCGTAAAATCAGTGTAGTAACTCCCGAAATAAACATCACGAATCACGCCAATAGGACTCTTTAAAAAAGAGATACTCAAATAAGTTTATGTAAAATAAGAAGTTCTTTAAAAAAAAAAAAAGAAAGAAAGAAAGAACATAATTTTCCAGAGCGAACTATATTTTAAACTTTCGTGATTTCTGAATTTTTCATTTTAGATTATTATTTTGAAATTCTACCTGAAATCAGTCATTAAAGATTTAAAAAAAAAAAAATCTCAAATGAGAATACAAAAATTACGATTATTTCTTTCCTCTCTGATGCGCAAAAAAGACATCTTTGGAAAAAAAATTCTGTAGAAAAAACTTTTTTTTTCCCGAGAAGTTAGGCAGAATGGAAAACTAAAAATTTCCCCCTGTCAAATAAATAATCTTTCTGCAAAAATACTAACATTCTGCAACAATGTCACCATAAATCGGCCATGGGGTTTTTAGTTTGTATCTAGTAAATTTCCATATAATCAAACTTGACATAAATTACAACTAGTCATATAAACTGACATCACTATTATACTGAATATATAACAGGTGTAAAATATTGAATAAATTTTTTATGTAATCCACACAGCTAAAAATAATATTAATAAATTAAATACTCACCAGCAACCGTAATAGATTGCTTGGGTTGAATGATTCCACCATTTGGTCTGACACAATAAGTCTTAGGAGCAGTAGTTTTAACTTTAAAAGCTATCTGTCTCTCTGTCGGATTTGTTAATTTCAGATGAGAAGTTGTAACTTCATTAAAGGGTCCTATAAAAATAAGCATAATTTAAAATACAACTAATGTCTAATTTTAAACCTAATATTTTACAACATATGAAATATGAAGCAATTCAAGTAATGAACACCTCTTTAATGTATAACAATCCTGCTTATTATATTTTTTAAACTTGTAAACCATGCGATTATAAATCCTCATGATTAATTTTAAAATTGTATTCATATATAAATGTGAATCACATGCATGATTTTAAATTGAGAGAATATATGAATCCTGATAAGAGGCTTTTAAATCACGTGAATAGGAAACTCTATATCGCATTAAAAAATGCGAAATTACAAATCATGATGCATGATTTTTAGATCATGTAAATACGAATCACAATGCATAATTTTTAAATCACGCAAATACGAATTACAATGTCTAATTTTTAAAGCACGTATAAATATGAAAATCGATGTTTGATATTAAAACCACAAAAACGAATCACAACATTGGATTTTAAAGTCATGTGAATATGAATCACTACATAGGGTTTTATAAGCACATAAATACAAAACGCGATATTGGATTTTTAAATCTCGTAAATAAGAATCGCAATGTACGATATTTAAATCAAATTATGTACGATTAATAAGAATTGCAACGTTCAACTTTTAAATCAGGTAAATACGAAAATCGATGTTTAATAATAAAACCGCGATTTTAAAAATTCAAAATGCTATATTGGATTTTTAAATCTTGTAAATAAGAATCGCAACGTATGATATTTGAATAGCATAAGTAAGAAAATGCGAAACTTTTAAATCAGGTAAATTATTGATATTAAAATGATATGAATGAGAATCGAGATATTTGCAGAGTCTGGACTTGGGATTTCTAAAAGGCTTATTTGTATTAATTACTAGTAAAGCTTATTGTTAAAAGGCTTATTTGTATTAATAAAAATTACTAGATTAATTGAATGAGCAAATAAATATTTTCAATGCAAATTCACCTCTATTTTTTTTTCTGTTTGCTTTCACACCAGAAAACAGGAAGCAGCGACGTCTGAATTACGAAAATCTTATTTTCTGTGAGTAAAATTGGAGTGCAATAATAAAAAGGGTTGGGGTTTTGGACGTCCTAAACTGGGTTTAGACAGGACACGTGGGTTTTACTGTCTTAAACTGGGTAAAACTGTCCTAAATTGTCTTAAAGTGTCCAAAACCTTGAACTTTGGTAAAAGGTAAAAATTCTATATGTGTAATCATTGTACACATAATAATTACATGTATCAATAAATATTTGATATTTTTTATACAATTTACTATAACTTATTAAAAGAAAATAATATAATAGGAAAACGTTTATAATTTTTGAAGCTCCACAGTTCATTGAACAACAAAAGTGAATAACTAATTCTTTAAATATAAATATGCTTTTGATTCTGATAAATAATATTTTTGCATAAGGATAAATATGGCAATATTAAAAAATAATAATTTTTCTTAAAAAAAATACTAAATTTGTTCAAAAATTAACCTTTTATTTTCACAATATTTTTTTAAAATTTTTTTTATAATTTCTGCATCACAGGATGATAAAAAAAGACATCTATTTAAAAAAAAATTGTTTTTAAATATAAATATATTAGTTTAATAATAAATATAAACAAAATTTAATAATTATACATTTAATAATTAATAATAAACAAAATAACAGAAAAATGTATTAACAGTTTTGAAGGGTATAACATCAGTTTCAGTTACTGACACTGGTGATGTATCACCACTATACAAAAAGAATTAAACATGAATGAAATAAAAGTATTCCTGAATAGAACTATAGATAAATAAACCTGTTTATGATGAACCAAGCACTTAGTCCCTAATATTTTAACCTGTATGGCAAGGCCAAACTTCAGTTATGTACTATTGAATGAGAGGACCAATTGAACTTGATTACCGATTAATCTTCCTTTGTATAAATTGAAGAGTCAAATAATATTAATAAAACATTATACTTTTAAAAACAAATATTCTCTAGTACATTTAATTATCAATAATTTATTAGTTCTATGTTTATTTTACCTCTTAAATATTGTTCAGATAAAATTGTGACATAATTTGAGTAAAAGGGTTTTGGACAGTTTAAGTCAGTTTTGGACAAAGGGGTTTTGGGCAGGACGGTTTAAACCGTGGATTAATCCATTCTGTCCTAAACCTTGCCAACCCTGAAAATAAGTAAAAATGAGGAAGGGTTCGCAGCTAGGACGTAGTTTGAATTTTCGGTTAATCTTTGAAAATCGTAAATAAATATAAAACGGTAGTTTCACAAATTCAACTTAAGTAAAAACGGTAGTTTCACAAAATACTTTGCCTTAAAATTTTATTTTTGTATCCCTTAAGAAACGATAAATCTATATTTTTAACATGTTTTTGTGTTGACTTTTTAATATAATTTTAAGTCAAAATTTTCACAAAATAGGTACCTTTCGGAAAAACCTAGACAGACCCCTGGAATTAGTACTGTTAAGTGCATGTTTTCTATTTAATTCCAAGTTGAAATTTAACTAAGGACAATGGTTTTTATTGATTTTGAAACTTGTTTACAATTTTAAGCCCAAAATTTCACTCTAGCAAAATTGTTTTTGAATATATGGAGAAAAATATATAGAAATTTACCAGTCATAAATGAATTTTATTTGTAGTGACAATTTTTAAAAATATTTTCCTACTTCACCATATTTTTGTCTTGATTTCTTAATATAATTTTTAATTTTCACAAATTATGTCTAAATTTTTACAAAAAACTTGTTAATATTTTTACTCTAAAAAAAAAACCTTAACAGACCCCTGTAATTTTTCAACACTCAAAATTCAAGCTTCCTAAAAACATCTTTTAAATACTTTAAATTTGTTTAAAAAGTATTAAAAATTTCCTTGAAAACGGTAACAATTTCAAAGGAGGTCTACTAATCTATAATACATAATTAAATAAAAGAAGTAAAATCCTATTCCCTATGTGTAATTATAAAACTCACGGTAACATAGATAAGTAAATAACCAGAAAACACTAAGTTTGAAACTGATTTTTAACGTGAAAATTATTAAACTGATCAATTTTCAATGAAGGGCGTACCTGTTAAAGGAAAAATTTAATTGTTAGAAATTTAACTCTTCAACTTTGTCACAATGTCAAAGGACAAACAAGATAAGTTATGTAACTTCATGACAAAAAAATTACAAGTGTTTATTTAAAATTTATCTTTAAGAGAAAATACAGTATCCATTAAAATATGTACGAACAGAATCAAGGAAATAGGAGGAAAACTAATTAGAGTTTGGAATCTTAACATTCGAAACTACTGATAAAAATGAATATTTTAACTGAGGCCACAAAAAATTACAGACCTTTAAAATGTAGTTCATTTGGTGGATCTAACTGAAGAGCCTGTTCAAGTTTTGCCATTATTTATAATTAAAATATTTAATAAAAGGAATTTAGTTTTAATCCTCAAACACCTTCGATTTCCAAACAATCCACGACAGTAAGTAATGTTGCCACCAATTTTTTCCTAAAAACTCAAAAGTATACAAAACAGAAAAAGTTAACTGTCACTTCTTTTCAAAACTTGTCCCGCAGTGGACTGATCGTTAAGACATTTAGAAGTCATCAGCGAAGTCAAGCTTCACTGACAGCGGTCAGTGTGCTGGTGGGTGACCACTTGGATTAGTCTGCGTAGGGACCGAGGGTGTGCGGTATTGGTCCTCGTTAAACTGTTCTACGGTGAAGTGCTCGACTTCGCGGGTAGGTCGTCGGGCTACCGAAGCAGGGGTGCCATCCCCTCTGCAGAGGTTCAAAATTGTGATGGCGTGTCTTCGGATCATCCTCAGGGATGTTTCCCAGACCGTCGCCAATAGCCCATTGTGCAGCTCTAGTGCGACGTAATTACTAAAACAACAACAACTTTTCAAAACTTTACACGGAACAGACATTACAGGAAAGGAACTTCGCATGTTTCCCACTGTGAATGAAAATATAAATAAACTAGGTAGAAAGCACTCAGCGCCTGCACCCAGAATTTCACTCTCAAATCACACAGATGTTTGATCGTTTACAGTTCGCGCAATGAAAGAACTTCTGTTTACTTTTGAAATAGGAATTTTAAAAAAATTCATTTTTCAGATTTTTTTTGGTGTTATTATTCATATTTACATCTACCTGTTTACAAAGAAATGTTTTTGTTAAAATAAAATCAGAACAATACACAGCGTATTATTAACATAAATTTTCGTATTACAAGCATTCATTGCAAGGATGCAAGGCCGTAGCCAGGATAATTTTTTTTTTGGGGGGGGGGATATGGTAAGAAGCAAAGGACAGTTTCAGACGTGCAAAATAGGGGGAAAGCATTGTAACAAATATTGTTCATTCTGTTGTTTGTAAAAGTTAAACTAGTAATTAAAAATATTACATAATACTTATTTTTCATATAATATTACATAATAATTATAATCAATTTGTAAACAAAGTTTACAAAGACATGCGACGGGAATTTGAAGAAAATTTTTCAATTACTTTTTTAGGACAAACCAGAATATCCCGAAATATGCTTAATAAAGTTAGTTAATAAAAGGTTTGATTCGACAGTTTTTGTTTTTCTTTTTACTGAGAGGCTCAAAGGACGACTAGAAAGTTTGAATCCCAGAATTTCAGGGGGGGATTTGTCCCGACGTTTCCCCCCTCCCTGGCTACGGGCCTGCAAGGATGTCTTCATAATTGAATGATGTATTTAGAAGCCATCTGCTGGCCCACAACGTAATCATTAAGTTTTAGACTCTCGAGAGTCTAAAACTAAATGATTACGTTGTGGGCCAGTCTTGATTAGTACTTTTCTTGTATACGTGTACAATTTGGGAAAAGCGAATGGGAAAACAGAGGCCTATCAGCCTGAATAAGAAGTCGGCGGGCCGCACAATATGTGCTGGTAGGCCGCCTGTTGGACAGCCCTGAACTAATCCATCAAATTGAAAAATTGTACTATAATTTCAAACTAATTACTCTGATAAAAATGTAACAGTAAGGTGAAATTCCTATATATATATTTCTGGAATAAAAATGTAAAAGTTACATTAAAAAGAATTTTTTTTAACATATTTTTCATGACATTGTACTCTCGTCGGTCCAAAAAGTAAATTATAATGTTTGGAATGATTATGAATACTTAATTTGGGCTATATTAAAACTGCCTACACATATTTAGTTGAAAATTAAATTTTTGACTTTTGGCCAAAGATCATGGTCTTCTGGTCCACAGTGCAGTGGCACGAAACCAGTCTTCGCCCTAGATGGCGGCGTATTTGAGCGTTGCGATCGCCTATATGACAGTAAATCAATATAAAATTGGAAACAAAGAATTATATGGATATTTTTTAAAGTTAGTAACAATCAATAAAGTGCAAAAAAAAAAAAAAAAAAAAAAAAAAAAAAAAAAANAAAAAAAAAAAAAAAAAAAAAAAAGTGTAGAAAGAGGCATAAATGTGTAATACTCTCATATTAAATGATAATTCAGCAAGTAAGTGTAATAAGCTTTCATTTATTTGGGTTTGTAGGCTTAAAATTTAGGAAGAAATATCATCGACAACAGTGGCTGTTGTTGTCGTAGGACATTAAATCAAAGGGTTCGATTGTTCTTGTTTTCCAGTAGCACCATTTGTGGCCAAGGATTTGATTTCTGCCACACACATGCGTCACACCTGTTTATAGGGTGGACTAATTCATTCATCTACAGATCGCAATTTTGACCAAAACCAGAGAACGATCAGTCTCCAATTCAGCCCCCCTCCAGAGGTATAATTTGTTTTTGGGAACATGGAGGACTTTGTGACCCTACATATTTAACGTGCATCGGTCACCATTTACTACAAGGGGAGTCTTCGGCCGGCTGGGTTCTAACTCCCGCTCTAACGAACGTGAGTCCAGCGCTTTGCCAACCAGGCTACCCCAGCCTAGACAACATTTGTAAACAGAATATAAATATTTTCTTACAAATAACACGTTAATTTTTCTAATGGTATTACTTATTTATACATCATTGAGGATTAATTTCCTAACAAATAAAAACACTTGTTAAAAGGAGAAAATTGTTTTAACAAAAATTTAAAAATAAATTTGGTATAGGCATAGCTTTTATTTAACCCCCCCCCCCCCAAAAAAAATCTTTTAATTTTGCATAATTCAACAAAAAACTCACTTATTTTTTATTTTTCAATTCTTCTATTAGTTCACACTCTCCGTATATCTTGGTTAAATTTTTAATCGTTCATAAAATACTTTTTATTCATCCATTCAAGCTCAAATACATTTTTTTAAAACTTGTAGTGGGATGACACTTGGTGATAATACAGTTTCTTCAAATATTAATTCATTCATTAAATTTAATTCATTAATTTTAGTTTTACATGGGAGAAGAATTTTTAATTATTTAATTAAAAGTAACCAAAACGAAATTTTCCTTTGTTCACCTAAGTAGGAATTGACTTAATTTTTTTTTATCTTTACATTACTTGTTTTACTTAATCCTGGAGTTGTTTTTTCCCAGTTATGGTTTCACTAAAGGACAGGAAAAAAAATTATATTAAACTTCAGTTCAATATGGGTAATAAGATAAAATGTCTCCCCGAGTATCGAAAAGCTTAAGAGCTCTTTGCACATAAAATTCGCTTATTACTATCGGATAGTTAAAAACTAAACTCTGAGAGTGATTTTTTTTCTTCATTTAATGTACCATCACTTTATTAAATACAATGCGATGGTACACCTGTTACAAGTGAAACCTTTTTTATACTTTGACAAACCGCAAAATTTGCTTATAAATCTTGTTATAAGTTAGACAGCCTGGTGGATCGGTAAGGTTTAATGGTGTGAAGTAACCAAACGCACCAGAGGTCACAGGTTCGAAACCCGGGAACGGCCAAATTTTAAAATTTATAATTCAGAAAATAATTTTTTCTTAAAATTATTTCACAATATTGTAACATAAATAAAATATTCGTTTACTCAATATTAGTATTTTTTTTCATATAAGTGTATTTTATAAAAACGTTGAAATCGAGAAATTGTTGCTCTTATACTGTATCAATACATAATGGCCCATATCTCTCCTTAATATAAACCTCTAATTTTCCAACTCTGTTAGATTATATTGCAACATATTATACGACCATACCAAAGGAAATAAATATAAACAAATTAGGGGGCCAACAATGGTGGCACTATATGATTACCTTGACAAATCACAGAAATTACTTGAAAAGTCGGAGAGCTAGAAGGGTTTAGTGGTGTGAAACATTGAGTCGCTAGTCCCGGCGATAGCAGGTTCGAATCCCCCTTTTTGAAAATATTTATGAAAATAATTTTATTTATTTATTTTACAATATTGTAACATACATAAAATATTACTTATTATTATTTTTCAATTCCTACTATTAGTTCACACTCGCCCTATATCTTGTTCAAATTTTCAATCGATAATAAAATACTTTTTATTCATACACTCAAGTTCAAATACATTTTTTAGAACTTGTAGGGGATGATACTTGATGTTAAAACAGTTTTTTCCAAACATTAATTCATTAATTAAATGCATAATTAATTAATTTTAGTTTTAAATGGGAGAAAAATTGTAATTATTTAATAAAAAGTTATTAAAATAAAATTTTTGTTTCTTAACCTAAGTAGGAATTGACTTTAAATTTTTTTATGTATATATATATATATATATTACTTCTTTTCTAAGTGCGTATATAATAAAAGTGTAAAATTAAATATGCACTTGCTTTCCCTAAAATAAAAAAAATCTTTAAAGAAATACACAAATCAATACAAATTTTCCTTAGTAATATTATTTTCAGATACATATTTTACAATTATACATTTACTTTTTATTCAAAAGTTCAATGAGTCAATAATTAACATTTTCATTTCTGTATTTTTTTTCATAGAAATTAGTTGAAAAGAGTCGTATCTCTCAAATACCCAAATCCTTTTGTAATTTCTCTTAATAATTTCTGTTTTTTATTTTTAATCAGAAGAAACCATAATGATATTCATCGAAGAGGATAATTTATAAAATTTATAGATTTTTCTTGAAATGTTAAGTTTCAAAAATAGATTTTAGTATTAACTGAAGCATTAAATTAAAAAAAAAAAACTTCTACAAATTGTGATCATTTTGTATGATTGGGCAATTTACATGAAAAAAAAACATAAAATAATAAAAATTGCTTTTAATTTTAATTTGGGAAATATCGTTAACAGATATTTTCTGCAATATAAAAATTAGTGTTCGACACGCAGTAACTCTTTCCTTAGGTGAATTTTTTTAGCATAAATATGCTGGAAGCTTTCCTTTTGTAGTTTATAAAAATATTTTGTGATTTATCTATAATAATACGATAAAATAGTTTTAATATTTTAGAAAATGGATTATTTATAAAATTACTGATACAACACAAAAATTTCAAAAGACCTAAATGATTTTTATTTTTATCAATTTCATTTTTCATTGAAAAAAT